ACACATGATCAACGGTAGTAACTTAGCTTTTGCTGACTGTGGAAAGTGCTTGTACTATTTTAACACATGAGTAATTATGCTTTAACTTGTGATATACCCAGAATGAAACTCACATATGTTCAAGTTGAGGAATGAGGCTGAGAGAGAACCAAGAGGCTTAAGAGAATCAGGCTGTTCAGAACCTTGATGTGAAAACAGTGTAGTTGGATTTCTGTGGACTCCTGTTGATGACCTGTGTCATGTTTCACAAATATAAGGTCTTAACACTCTACTGTCTGTCATTATTTTTCACTGAGTTGTCTCTGAGAGAATCAGTCTTTAACTGGTATTTTTTAGACTTTTTTACTTCTTTCTAAATAGAAAGGATCAGGTTGTTTTGAGGAATATGGTGACTGTTTCACAAAAATAATGGTAGCTATATATATTATTTAATAACATTGTCAGTTACATGAACCATTTTCTTGTAATTTTTATGGAGAATTCAAGCAGTATCTTCAAAATACTTTTAAAAAACGTTCTTAAAAATTCTTGTATGTATCTCAAATATGAAACTGTCCTAGATTGATAAAAATACGAGATCATATTTGATTGTTATTTACTTGTTTTTATTTATGTTGGGTAATGTTTTATCAAATGTTTAAATTGAGTACATAGTGAGATAATTTAAAATAAAAAGCCCCTTATGCTTAGTCTTTGTAACATGTGACAACAGCATCAAATTAGAAAAGAAATGGCCGTTGATTTCTACTCTTAAAGAAAATAAGATTTGTATGTAAACAATTTAAAATAAATTGCTAATTCACTTCCAATTATATAGAATATAAAGCATTAGTAATGGAAGCAAATTAGGCATGATTTTTATTTATATATTATCAATTGGGAAAATTGGCCCTTCACCAAATGAAGCCTTCATTCTACAAGCATTTGGTTAATTCCTTACCTTTAGGCATCTAATTAATCCCCCCAAAGTCAAGGAGACAAATTCTGTGATTATAGTTTAACAGCCATAACTGTCTGCAGGTTTGGAGGTCAAACAGAAACTTAAACTCAGCCTGGAAAGCATGCAGGGAAAGTGCCATAGGGTGCCAAAGCAACACTGGGATAGCAGTGCATTGTGCAATGTGTCCTTGCCAAATTCACTGTGAATTTGTCAGACTTGGCTTTTGGTTGTGAAGGCCAAATAGTTTTCCAGTATCCTTCTCTAGGTAAGCAAGCAGGTGTTTATATCTTCATTTTCACAATTTACATTTTACAAATGCAGGAAATGGTTTGCTGAAGGCTGCAAACTCAAGAACCTGTTACTGGAGTGAAGGTTAGAACAGAGAAGTTCTTGGTTCCTGGTTCTGCCTTCAGTTCACAGAAAAATGCCATTCTCCAAAAAAGTTTGTGGAAATATATACATAAATTATTATTATAAATACATAGCTTATAATAAATACAAATAAATGAGTATTAGAGGAATAATCACTAATCCTGTCTGATGGTGTGCAAGACTCTTTATGGTACTTTAGAAATAATAACCCATTCTGTAAAAAATTCTTTTACTGTATAGCTCTTGCTACATAGGACTGCATGCCCATACAGAATAAGGCATGCTGTCTACCCAATGTTCCATGGGATCTTTCATGTGTTGTTTGTGCTACTTGTTAGTTGTTTCAGCAGAATGAGTTTTTCAGGGTGGATAATGGACAGACACTGTATTCAGCTTTTCAATTTATAAATGAACAAATGATATTTCTAATTGTTAAAAGTGGACTATGGATGAAAGATAAATTCTAAATTTCTGTTTTTGTGGGTCAAGATTGCTTATGAAGACAATGAAACATTATTACTACTATTATTATCATTATCATTATTATTATTTCCATGGTATGAAATGTGGTTTGGTTCTTTTTTAAAACAGAGAAAACTTACCAGACAAGGCATTGCTATCATCTACTGGCATTGCCATTGCCTTTGAAGGGGGTCTGATGGTGCAGGGTGAGTAGGGAAGGGACTCTGATGCAGAGGCTACTAAGGCTGTAAACAGGATTTGGTGGATGATGTATCCCAAAGGATAAAGGGTGTGACTGAATAGCAGTGGTACTTGGTATACGGAAAAGACTGGAAGCAGCTTTTGGTAGTGAGACAGCTTTTTAGATATGCCATCCCAAAATATTCTAAATCCATTTCCAGAATGCTGCCTTTGCATATGTAGATTTTTCTTTATTGAAAACATTTCATGGCCATTCAAGTACCTTACAGAAAAAGAAAACTTTAAAAAAAGCAGGATATCTTCAGCCTCATCTTTATAATCAAATCTGCTTCAGTCTAGCTGGAAATTGTGTCTGCAAATTGTTCTATGTAACAGCCTATGTTGATTTTTTCCCAGCTGTCTGTATGGATAAGCACAGCAATTGTCATGAGGTATGTTCTCAAAAGTTTGTGAAATCTTTATAGAGATTATAAAGTACAGCGTCGGATTTTAAGGACTCAGTGTAAGAAGTACATTTGCTAGTCCATTATTTTGTTAATTGTTGGCCAAACTGTCTTGTAGGGAAACAATGCTTTAAAAATGAACCTGTGGAACAGGCAGATGTAACTTCATAACTAGCAAAGTATGTATTCAGTATTTGTGCAGTAAGTTATTCAGTAAATAATGATATTCAGTAAATAAAACTGAATATCAGGGGTACCAAATTTTAGAATAATCCCAAGAAAAATACCGGAAAAGATATTCTGTTAATGAAAAGAACTCTGTAGGGGAAATTCTCTTTTTATGAAGAGAATAAACAGCAGACTATGTCAAGGTAATGTAAAAACTTCCATGTCAACCTCATTCTTTCCCCATAACTCATGATCTGTGCACTCTGAAATTTTTCCCTCTTCAACATCTGACAAGCTGATGGTAAAAATCTCTATGTGTAAGCTCCGTTCTTATCCTTCATATAAATTTCAGAAAGATAGGCAAAGAAACACTCTTTCCTCTACAAACTGGGAGTTTCTGCCTCTCTTAACCACCTTCCAAAGCTGCTGTGACTACCAATTTTTGCCTATTTATAGAATTAGAAGCTTAGTGATACATCCATTGCATCCCTTCTGAAAAATATTCCAAAATTATATGCTTGAATTGAGATACAATCCTTGAGTAATGATACGTTTAGAGATGTAGGTCAGAGATGAAATGGCACTTTGAGTCTTAACCGCTCCCTTTCAATAAGAGCTCATGTGAGATTCACACAGACTTGGATGATATGTGACTTCAGATCATTGACCCATTCTCTAAGAAATAACTTTGTTTTCAGCATAGACATGCCTGCTTTTCAAGCATTTTTAGGTGTTTGGACTCATGTAAATAAAGTTTTAAAGCTACAGGCATCTATCTACAGCTTATCAAGCTATTTTCAGGATTTCCTTATCAAAAATTCAAATTAGTTTCTTTTGGTTATGTTTGAAACGTTGCAGTAGTAAGGTGGAGGACACTGAAGTAGGCCTTCTCTACCTGAAGCTTTATCCTTGTTATGGCAGAAAATTTATGCCCTTCAATCTCTTATTTAGGATCCCTTTTTGTCCATTTCTATGTTGTAATCTTTAATAATTTTTATAATCTGCAATATGTAGCTGAGTAGTGAAACAAGGCTGAGCAAACACTATTTGGAAACAATGGCTGGGTGCCCGTGATTTCTGTGATGTTCAGAGCAATATATCTGTATTTTAATCAGCTGGCTGTAAATGAAGAAGCATGCCATTGTATGATTAATGAAAAGTGCTGGGTTTAGTTATGGTAATATATGAATGTTAGAGATTTAAACTGTTGTGTGTAGCTATTCAAGTTTGCTATTAACATCAGCAGCATTGCACTGAGATTGGACTGGCTGTACAGTCCTCAGCAAAAGGAAAGGTACTTTTATTCAGTGGGGTACAATGGGACTCCAAAGTGAAGTGAGCATGATTTAACTTTAAACATCATGCTATGTTTCCAGTTAACCATTAAGTTGTCATTTCCATAAACCCAAATGTTTTGATAGGAAAACCAATTGCTGTAGACAGAAAAGGAGTCAGACTCTACACAGATCAGTTCAATAAGCAGCTCTTGATGTGTTATAAGGCAGTGGCTTCCCAACTCTTGGGACAAATTGCAGTTTGATCAACTGCCAATGAGTGAGATCATACTCGTATCTTTTTTATTTGTTTATTTTTAATTTGTGAGCAAAGACTGTGCTCATTAAAGTGAGGAACTCCACACTTCTTTTAGCCAAGTGTTACCATATTCTATATAATGAATTGTGTACACTTCTATCCTTTTCAGTCATTCATCTAATTTTCCTTGGAATTGCATGAAATACTTCATTATTCAAGCATTTTTCCAATCTCTACTATTTATATTTCTGTTACAAACCTGTGTTTGATTATACTCATATAGTAGGTGCTTTGTACTTTTTATGTGGACATGAACTTGTTGCCCTTTTTTTGGTTTTGTTTTGCTTTGTTTTGACAGGTAAATGAAATGATTGACCAAATAAATTAATTAAAGTTATTCTCTGTATTTTGTGATTTATAATGACTTACATGAATTTGAATTACTGTAGAACTTTACAGCTTCATGTTATTTTCTGGTCCTGCCATAGAGTAGAAAATACTTTCATTGTCTATTTTTAGCAAAATAAGTAAAATTTTTCTTTGTTTCTTATTTATTAATAGTGACATGGCCCTTGTTTTTCTTTTTCAAATTCTTGTGGATTAATTGTTGAGTTTATTAGGGAAGTACTGAGAAGTTTTATTCTTCTCTGTTGCAGATAGATACCAGTGGCTTAATGTCTTGGCCACAAGGCTAAGCAATATCAGATTGCTGAGGCCTGTGACAGTTAAAATATCCAGATTGTGTCTGTGAATGTTTTCACTTTTGAATATGTAAACTTTTAGCATTAATGCTGCCATTACCAGAATGTTGCTGGCATTGCTCCTGTGTTAGAAGATAATTACTGGACTCATTCCTGACATGTAACACTTCTTTTTTCCAGGGAGGTGGGTGGATGGGCACACAGAACTCATTGCTGAGCTACTGAAGTTGGGTAAGTTCTGTTGCCTTCATTGATCCTGTGTGGCTTTCAAAACATGGACTCAGTTGATGGAGAAAGCATCTGTGTAGCTCACATTACTAGAGGAATTTGTTTATTATACTTTGCACTGAGGTTGTTCCTTTTCTTGTGTGCCTGGTAAACAGTTTGATTTTTGATTGCTTTTTAGGCTTTTCAGATGACCTACATGGAACTTCTTATTTTGATTTCTACTGACTAGAGTGTTTAAGTTATTTCCTGCTTTGTTGCTCTGTAAAAACAAACAAAATTCACCTTAGCTTGAAGGACTACCACAGGTGCTATGAACCACCTAACACTTCATAATAAATGCATTTCCCAGATATAGACTAAATAATCTGTTGAGAGTCCTGGTGTATCTTACTTCTACCTCGATGGTGAGGTAATGCTGGAGACCTGGCCTACAACAGATGGAAGGAAAGAAGCACTACAGTGTGATCATATGTGATCAATACAGGGATCATTTCTTCACCTAGTCAAACACACATTTCCCACCTTTCTGTCCTTCATCCTTCATGGTTTGTGCTCTGTGTTGAGGCTGATCCTGTGCCCCAAAAAAGCACTATTTTTCCCTTAATAAAGTGCCACAGCTCCCTCTGCACGGTGCAGGAACGTTATGTCTGGAGCTTTGGTGGACTGCCAGCTCCATTTGCTGTGTGGAGGGGAAGGAAATTCACACAAGTACCATCCTTTTCAAGGCTTTCATTCCCTACAGAATGTATTAACAAGTCTGAAAGCAGCTCTGCTTGCTCCTGCTGTAAGAATGGTAGATCCAAAAAAGTTTAACTGTCCCTTCCCATGCCATGAGTTTCAGTCTAACTACATAATTACAGTTTCCATCAAGAAGGAAAGTGAAAGAGAAAATCAGAAAATTTTAGAAAGCTATGAAATTAGAGAAAACACAGTGACTATCAAGTAGACTTTCATTACTCTTTATTTATAACAACAATGAAATTGCAAAGAATTAGGTAGAATACTTGAACTCCCATGAAAGATGTTATGCACTGCATGTATTGTTAGTTAATGTGAAATACCTGTTTAAATCAGCTTTTTCTGTAGTTTCCTTGTCATACATCTTAATGTCAGCAACATCTGCAATGGAATTGTAATGCGGATCAGTGCAGATTATCACCAGTTAATAAAGGTTCAAAAGCATATTCTAGGTAGCACAATTTCTTCAGTTTATTTCTATGGTTAATCTGCTCATATGTTTTCAATAAAACCTTGTATTAAATACAAAAGGTATTTATGATATGTGAATGATTTGGGTTTTGACATAGCATTTGGTTGTCCAAGATCAAATCCTACAGTTTGGTCTCCTCTTCTGATCTGAGCTTCAATTATTCCTTGTTTATTTAGCAGTGCTCTAAAGAAGGATTTGAGCTCTCATTTTGACACATATCTTGCAAGGGAAGTAATTACTCTTAACTTTATGTGCATCCCTAGAATCAACAAGGAAAATAGGAAATTATTCAGTTCAGAGGATCATTCCTTAACCATTGTTCTCAGACTGTGTAGATGTTGTGGGGGAATCTTTCCTCTTAACAGTGTCATTTTATATAATAAAAAATAAAAAAATAAAAATTTCAATAATTTCAACTGCAAGTTTTTGGATGTACTACTGCCTCACTAAGCATGAACTAGTTTTCAGAACAATCTCAGAGATGTCCAGAAATCAAAACAGAAGAAAAGGAAACCAAATTCCCCAGCCCCAGAGGCAATTTTGAAAATACAATTCTAGTTATTATTGGATCTTATTATCTATACAAGGCTTCTGTCTTACCTTTGTTACCACAAGAAATACTTTTTCTGAAACTACTGTTTTTGAAGATTTTATTTGTCCCTGATTGATTGCCATTTTGATGGTGACACTTCTCATTTTATGGAAATATTATAGCGCTTTGAACACTGAGCTTCAGAAAAGCTCTAGGAGTGAACAAAGAGCTGTCTAGGACCCCAAGACCAGTGCTACAAGTTAGGTAGTGTTTGAACTGGGGAAGGATGGCCTGCCTCAGCCTTTGGAAGTGTTCCCCACAAGGCTATTGGCTTTAGACCTGAGTAACAGATCAGCATTTGCTCTCAGTCCTGCAGCCATGGCAGAAACAGGTGTAGCAGTTTAATGTTTAGTTAGCACCAGCTTTGTTTTCTCTGTGAGCCCTTGAAGCACTCTCACAGTAAGTTCAAACACTTTGAGTGAACATTGTAGAGACAACCAACCTGCTAGTTTCAGGGAAGTGCTTTTAGGATCAGAGTTCTTTGTAGTAATCTGTTGGCCCAAACTACCTGATAGTCAAGGTTTTAAATCAGTGTAACTTTCCCCTGGTACCCAATTATAATTCGTTTTTAGTAATATAAGAATTACTAGTAAAATCAGCATTCATTGGTATATATTTATACATATGTAAATATATATATATATATATAGTAGTATATATTTGTAGTTTCTGGTATCCTCTGTTATTTGTGTATGAACAAATGGTGTATTTGGCCTTTGAGCAGCACAACACCCCTGTGAGTTCAGCTGCCTAAATATGCACTATGAGTACATGTGTGTAGGGCACCCAGCTCTCCCAGGAGTCGTAGGTGACACAAAAGTACGTGTTCCTCAGGGATATGTCAAGGCATCATAACACAACATCCTCCTGATTTAATGGACATTTTGCTACATTCCACATGTCCAAAATAGGAAAGGAAAAGAATGATCAGACTCTGTTGTTTTGTTTGCAAGTCTTTATCTCTGCCAGGACACAGAAGTAGCCAGAGCTGAGTGGGTTATTTGTAAGCACTGAGTAGTCTGAATGTTCAGTAACTCTGTGTGAAATCAGAAGCAGCATTGCATAAGCATTGACAATATGGAGCAAAATGCACTTAGATTAAAAAATATACAGGATTGGGGTGTTTCTTGCATACAGTAGGCCTAGCTGTTTCAGAGATGAACATAAGCAGATTTCTGAGGTCCTAAATGCAAATCTAGGTGGAACCATTTGAATTTACAAAATACACATCCCCAAATGAAGCCCAGCTTGAAGGACTGAACATGCCAGTAGCAAGTTCTGCTTCAGACTTCAAGAGATAAAGTACATTAGCGTGTATCAGTTAGTCTAATTTATTCAGTGTCATTGCTCTATCACAACCTTCTGTTTGATTTTCTTATAAACTAATAATTTCCTGAATGAACTAATACTGCCATAGCTACTAGTACCTCTGCCTTGTAGAAGTTTTTTATTGTTGTGTATGCAACTAAATTGAAATATCTTTCACTTGAAATATTGACTTTAATATCTCATTTGAAAAATTCATGAAGCCTTTGATGTTAAATCCATACTCAATTTAGCCAAATGCCATTAGAATATGCAATATGCCTGAATACAGAAAGCATTATTGTCTGTGTTTCTGCGGAAGAATTACATTTTATGACTGTAACGTCAGGATCTTTTTTGGATTTGTTCATGAAGAAAAGAAAGAGAAAGGCAGCACATTAGAAGCAAAATGAAAAGTGGTATTGATTAGGCTCTCATTTACCCTCTCTTTGCTTGAATCCCTAAATGCATGGAAATAAGGGTTGTGCCACAGCAAGTAACAATGCTCTGTAATGAATGGAACAATCTTTAGAAAATTAGTGTAAACACGTATGATAGTGCACAGATGTTGCTCCCAGTAACTGTCATACATTTATTTTACATCTCCATTTACATACATCTCTTTATTTCCTAATAGTATCATAATAGAAACATGACAATAGTTAATGATTTCATAAAACATGGAATGTAAAGCTGACAGAGAGGTAGAACATTAATTGAAACCTATAGCTATAGTACATTAGAATTACATCTCCTAAATGACTCCTGATAAAAATATCCCTCTTCTACAGAGAAAGACAAAGGCAGGTAAAAAACTAGGCTTTCAACAAATTAATTTTTTTTTCCAGTAAAACAGACTGGCAAATGTTGCAAAATCTCCTGAGTGCTAATAGAATCGTATTTGCCTTTAGTAATTTATGGGCACTTTTCCTCCAGCTATCGATCACAGTTGAAAAAAGTAAACTGCATTAACATTTTAGGCAATAATGGCTCCAGAAAATGTTTGATTTTTATCACTACCAAAACTGATGTCATGAAACTTGGTTCCTCAGCAGAAGAGGGAGAGCTGAGCGCATCCAGCCTGTAGTGTGTTTATGCAAGCACCCAGGTCTGACTGAACAAACTGGACGCTAACCAATGTTTTGAGCTTGTTGTGTTATCCTAAAACATAAAAAGTAACTTGATGGCACAAGTCAGGAGGTTGCAGTGCGGCAGTAATGAGGTGTCCGAAGTACCCTGGGGTCTCTGAGGATTCCAAGGAGCGCTGCAGGGGCTGGAGGAGAGCTGCTCTCTGCCACCATCTCCTGGCCAGCGCCTGGGACACAAACCGCCTCTACTCCTCTGTGCCGCCTTTGCCAAGCCTATTTCCTCAGCCGAGGGGACAATCGCAGCCATTTGAAGCAAGCTCATACTGGAAAAATAGCACATTTTAAAATTTCCGATGGGAAACCGGACCTTAACAAACTTATGTAGATGTATATTAAAGTGGACGGTGCAAAATGCCAGACTAAGAGAGCTGAAAGCTCTGTGAATAAATCCAGAGCATTAGTGCCTGGGATTTTATGCTTGGAATTAGGGGAAAGTGTTTTGGTTAGTGATGATGACTCATGTTGTCAGATAGTCCTGAATGCTCTAGAAATGTGTGTTATACAGGATGTTAACTGGACTTGAATTTCTTCAGAATATTTATATATCATGAAAGGAAACAGCTTCATTTCAATAGTTAATACTTTCAAAATGCCACTTTTTAGTGTTAGCAGCTGAACTTACCTCTTTATTATTGGGAAGCAGCGCTGTAAGATAGATTGACTTTGAAAATGAAAAAAGATTTGAAGTTTCAGATTTTAGGTTAGATTTCTGGTTTTACTGTAGGCCTTTAACATTTGCAGAAGTCTG